GTTACAGATGCGTTGTAGTGGAGCTCTATATAAGCAGGCTGGCTGAACCCTTCAGTTCAGTTCTGTGAATAAACAAGAGCTGTTTGAAGAATCGCTGTGTCGTTTGATATGGTCACTCACAACTTAACACCCCCCATCTGTAGGGTGGCTGAGGCCCCACGGCATGCCCAGTCCCTCCCTAAGGGCACCCCGCGCTCTGTGCTGCCCCTATGGATGCTGCGCGGCACCCATAGGGACAGGGCACGTGGTGCCCATAGGGAAGGCACAGGCCATGCTGTTCCTATGGGCAGTTCGCCCTGCTCCTATGGGTGGTTTGCCCCACCCCTGGGCACACCTCCCCAGGTGCCCAAGTTCCAGTGCACATTTAAAACACATGACTTCCTCCAAAGAATCCTGGGAGCTGCTATTCCAACCTCACAGGGCTACAATTCCCAGCACCCTTAACAAACTATAGTTCCCAGGGTTCATTGGGGGAAGTCATGTGTTTTAAATGTGTGTCTTTAAGTGTGTGATGTGGATCTGCCCCAAGGCAGTCTCTAACGTCATCCCAAGTCTTTAACAGGGGGAAACACACCCGAGCAAGATCCAAAATTCCCAGTGTGCAGAGGATTCCTATGACTATGTATGGACTGTGAAGGACTGTAAGGGGGGGGGGAGCTTCCAGATGGACATACTGTTCCCATTTGTTGCTTTGAGATCAGAATCCCAGGCTAGGAATACTGCGAAGCACATGGGTTTGGCCACTGCTTGGATGTGCGGCTGCATGGGACGTGATGTATGCTGCTCTGAAAGGCAATCATAGCTGTCAACGTTTCCCTTTTCATAAGGGAAATTCCCTTATTCCGAATAGGATTCCTTGCAAGAAAAGGGAAGAGTTGACAGCTATGAAGGCAATACTGTTAAGAAATTTAAGAAATCAGCACATTTGTGCCCAGCCCTGCTCAGGGATTGTAAGAAACAAAACAAAAACCAAACACAAGTGCAGTTTCGAAACCACAAGTTTAAATCAGTGCAGCTTTGAAAGGTTCAGCCCGCCATCTTGATTCAAAATGGCGAACAATTGTACCCAAACAGAGACAAAAATCTGATGCTTGTTCTCAGCAGTCATCATCCAAATATGGTTACAATATCTTAAGAGGTGTCTAAAGGCATAGCAAACAGACAAACAACTATCCAAAATAAATCACTTCTAGGGAAAAACAACCATTGTCGTTCAATATCTTCCTATTTTGGGAAATCCATTGTATTTCTTGACTACTGTACAGATTTACGATTCATATTTTACCCAGTTTAGACATTCTACTGCTGCTGGCGAGATTCCCAGATCCGCATGACGTCTGGATATAAGGGGGTTATTAGTATTACAGAGGTTTGGCACTGTAGCAGGGAGTCTATCGTCTGAGCCAGAGTTCAGCCTAGTGAGATGTCTACTGAAGCATTATGTATTCGTATAGCACCATCCAATGTCTACCATTTTTCAAAGCGACATAGCAGTTTTATATATTTATTTATTTACTCACTTTACAAAATTAATATACCACTTTTGTTTGTCACGAAACCTCTAAGCGGTTGACAAAAAATATTAAAATAAACAATGAAAACAGATAAAACAAGTAAAACAAGTAAAACATAAAAAAATTAAACCAGCAGTTAACTAAAAACTGATTAAAACCACAGCAACATATACACATCTCAATAGGCCTAATAAAAAATGTATTAAGCAGGCACACAAACAAACGAAAAATAGTAGAAGTCCCTGCCTGATATCAATAGGCAGGGAGTTCCAAAGTGCAAGTTATGGCAAGCTAAAGGAGGAATTTCTGAAATGTTTGGAATGGGTATTGTGCGACTGTGTGACTGCCAGTTCTACAGATTGAAACTGTCGAGTGGGAACATAGGGGGTAAAGCGATTACATGAGTAATAATAATAATATAATATAGGTCCCTACCCTTAAGGATCCTGTAATTTTAACTCCAGTAATGGAGAACACAGCAGAGGGAAAAGGATGGAGAAAGGGAAGAAGCAAGAGCAGCAGGACGACTGAAGAAAATGCAGTTCTGTGTACATAGCCTTCTTTGCAATTGGGGATAAGGATTAAAGGGTTAAGCCAAAGGCTTGAAATAAATCCTTTCTATAGGGAGATGATGGATGTAATTGACTCAGCTCTAGTCTTCCTACAGACAAAGGACTAGAGTGTTATTTTTATTGAAATCGTTTTGAAAAAGTGATAGCTGCTTGTGGCATATGTACAGCCATGCGGTTTTCACCTCAGGTAAATAGAGCTGGGAAGTTTTTTTTCATTGTTTAAAAAAATCTGCAAAATCTGTTTGATCGAGAGCAAAAGTAGGATAAAGGAAAGTTACACTTGTACGTATGTCGTGTGTGTGTCGACACCATAGGAAGCAAAGTCTCTAACGGTTACAAACTTTTCTCTCTTCCTGCCCTAAGAGTCACGGTTTCCTTAGTTCAGCAGTTCCATGTCATTTCTGCCAGCTGTTCACTGAGCACACATTCAGATTTGTTTGTTGGAAGGGTATATCAACCTGTGCCAAGCAACTATTATCCCTCGCTTTCCAAGGGTGCGTTTCCCAATCGTTTCCCTCATCACAAAACGTCTGATTTGAGTGGGGAGGTTGGTTTGTTGCACAGAGCAATAACCAGCTTTATTTGTGCAATCTGAGTTTGCTGGCATGTGGTTGAATCCCACCCCAAAAGAGCAAAAGTCTGGAAGAGACCAAAGTGCGATTCCACATGCATCCTGCCTATCATGGAAATGTTTCATACATCTTAGTAAAAGGTAAAGGTACCCCTGCCCGTACGGGCCAGTCTTGACAGACTCTGGGGTTGTGCGCCCATCTCACTTAAGAGGCCAGGGGCCAGCGCTGTCCGGAGACACTTCCGGGTCACGTGGCCAGCGTGACAAAGCTGCATCTGGCGAGCCAGCGCAGCACACGGAACGCTGTTTACCTTCCTGCTGGTAAGCGGTCCCTATTTATCTACTTGCACCCGGGGGTGCTTTCGAACTGCTAGGTTGGCAGGCGCTGGGACCGAGCAACGGGAGCGCACCCCGCCGTGGGGATTCGAACCGCTGACCTTTCGATCGGCAAGCCCTAGGCGCTGAGGCTTTTACCCACAGCGCCACCCGCGTCCACATTTAACATTTCTGAAGTTCCACCTGCTATGTGCTGAAAGAAGGAGGTCTCCCGAATAAACCTGACTTGTACTGAGCCCATTCCTGCTATTAGCACCTCAGATAAAATACTGTAACTTCCCCACTAGAAATGCAGGGACTGACGATGAACATGCCCCCCCCCCCAAATACTCTGTTAGCAGAACCCCTTGTAATGGCCCATGCACCTCTGTTCCCCTCTCATTTTAATAGAATGTCCTTCATATAATTTCTGCCTAATTTCACCACTGTGAAAGCTGCTGTCCTAGCAGAAGTTAAGATTTTCCTTGCACACAAATTCCAGGATAGAAACTTCCCTTTTAGAGCTAACAAAGCTGAGTAAGACTTTCACACGGTGAACATAAATTTACTGATGTAAATGGTACTTGTGAAATCTGTGGGTCTCCTGGTTCAAGTGGTTCTCTTCAACCACGGCTGGGGGGGGGCGATGCAGCCCAAGAGAGAGGGAGGCTCCCATCAAAACATGACTTCTAGAACTTTTACTAATCTTATGTGGCTACTAATAGAGACTGTGCCTCTTCCCCTTCTCCTACTAAACAAAGCCCCAACTCCCCCCACCATTAGTCTCCAAAAGTAGTATCAGGTACCAAATTAGTATACCAAAGAGGCAGACCTTACAATAATGAGGAACACAGATTAGCTTAATGGCTGTAATATCAAATTGCTTTACAGTTCTCATGTCATCAGCTGAGCATAGGCAAAATATGCTGTGCTTGTTTCCCACAATATTTTTTTTTAAAAACCCACAAAATACGTAGTTCAATTTTGCCTCTCTCTGGGCAAAATTATGCTTTGAAAAATAATTTTTCAAGCTTTCAAGTTCTGCAGCGCACTTTACCAGGTACAAAGAAAACAATGAGTTAAAATACAGACGTTTCATCTCCACCAGACAAGGTGCAACTACATGTTACGGCAGACTCAGGCAGCTGCTAGAAATGTCATCTGGGTGTTGAGCTCCTCACCCCCACCCCATAACATCTAGGAACATCCATCAGATGTATGACTTCATCACACTGTGCAATATTCGATGATGTGAAGCTGGGGCGGGGAAATGCAGAACGTGATGACATCATATTGCGAGGGATGTGTTAATTGTGTGTTATGGGGGTGGGGTGGGGGGCAGGAGATAACTCTACCCAGAGATGCTGTTTAGCGGAAGTTCCTTGTTAACAAGTCTGCCCTTCTTTAGCAGTCTCAAAGAAGTGTGCTGTCCCACAACGACCCCGTGCACACCCCAGCATGGAGCATCATTCCCCCAGATGTTTTCCACTATGGTCATTTTTGCTATCATGTGCCTTAAAGTGTTCACAGTGCTTCACAAGTGTTATTCCCAGTAAGTAGCTCTGCAAAGTGGATCAGAATTATTATGGCCCTTACCCCATAAAATTACAGACAGGAGGCTGAAAGAGAGCAATGAACAAACCACACATTTAAAGCACATCGCACACACACACCCTGCAAGAATTCTGGGAAGGGTAGTTTGCTGGGGATTGTAGCTGTGTGGGGTGAACTACAGTTCTCAAGATTCTTAGGGTATGTGTTGCGTGAACGCAACCAGGAGTTAATGTGCATTAAATGTATGGTGTCCATGCAGCCAGAAGTTGAAGGCAAGCGAGATTTGGAGAAGTACTGCTCAGGGTTCATGCTTTTACCATGACCTGCCCCTGACTGCATCACCCCAGATCTACCACCCCACCCACAGCTCAAAGATTCCCACTTAAGATTCCATGCATATTGGCATGCACCGCCCAACCTGCACCTGCTCTGAGCATCTAAAAGGAAGAGAAGGAAAGTTGTAGCGCTGCTTACCGTCAGGTCTTCCCCATAGAACTGGAGCATGGAGGCATCAGCCACCAGCAGGGTCTCCACATAGCGGGCTTCTGAGATGAACCTCTTGGTTCTGCTGGTGCTGTTGGACTCTGCTACCCGGGATCCCTCTTCTGGGATGTCCTCTCCAGCTTCTTTTGCCCACCCCCTCTTCTGGAGCTGGTGGGCCTGCAGCAGAGGATCTCCATTCTCATGACCTTGTGGGTGGATGACATATTTGTCTCCATCCACCAAGAAGGAGCCACGGATGCCCTGGCACAGGCTGACAGCCACTAGGGAGTCTGGCTGGGAGTTCACAGTCCCCGAGTAGAAGCAGCTCCGGAGCCCCACGTCCTCCTTAGCAAGGAGCTCCTTCCTACCCACGTGCTGGATCTTCAGCCCAGGTGCCAAGAAGCTGGCATCTGGCTCCAACTGCAGGACAAACTCCTTCCTGAAGGCACGGATGGAGAAGGAAACCTGCCCTTCGCTTCCCGGAGGGACCATCCAGACTGGCACCACCCCCTGGGAGTTGCTGTCCTGGGTGGGCAGTGCCCAGGCATTGCCAAGCAGTCGCAAGACCAGCAGCAGAGGGAAGAAGAGCGTGCGGGCAGCGGCCAGCCGGCCAGCCGAGGGCTGCGGTGCCTGCAGAGAAAGGGGCATTGATGCTCTCAGGGAGCCAGTGACGGGATGGGAAGAGCAGGCTCGGTTGAAGAAACAGCAAAGTCCCCAGCTGTGTATGCTGCAAATTGGCAAGCCGCGATCCCCGGGGGGAAAACTGTGGCTTGAAATTGATAGGAGAGGAGTGAACAAATTTGGGGTTTTAATGCCAGGTTTAGTCAGCGACAACTTGCCCAGCGTAGAGGGAGAATTGAGGGGCCCCGGGAAAATCCTCTTTCTCCCCAAAGGCTGCTTTGTGGGGTTCCTTCTGTTACCAAAGTAGCTCTTGCACCTTTCCGGGCAAAAGATGCAGCAGCAAAGCGGGCTGTCCACTTGGAAAAAAGTGTGTCGAGTTGAAAGAGGCTGGGGCTGGGTGGGTGTTGGAATCCTGATCTCTCTCTCTCTCTCTCTCTCTCTCTCTCTCTCTCTCTCTCTCTCTCTCTCTCTCTCTCTCTCTCTGCCTCTCTGAGTTTCCCTCCCTTCCCTTCCTAAGAAGCTCTCTAGCTCTCTCCCTAGGCTGTTGCGCTCTCTCCCTGGGCTGCTTCTTCTCAAGCCTTTGAAGCACCAAATCTGGCTGCAGAGTCCTCGGTATTTATACTTTTCTTCCCCCCTTGCTTTGACATAAGAGGTTTATTTTTGATCTCTCTCACTATTCCACATTCTCCCCTGGGACCTAGAGAGCAGGAGGAGGAGGAGGAATGAAAAGGGGGGGGGAGGGGAGGTTTTTGGATAGAACCTGAAGCCAATCAGGAGCTAGGAGGACACGCCTCTCTTGTTTAAGTGTCAACTCAAACATCCCCCCACCCTTTTCTTATTCTCTTTGTGTTAACTCTTTCCAGGACTTTGATCACCCTTTGGCAATCAGACATTCTTTTTAAAATTTACTTTTAAAAGGCTGCATTCCAAGAGATTTGTCATCATTGGCATTAATTCTGCACTGTACGGGGTAAAAGAAGAAGAGGAGGACTTCCACTTGTTCCTTCCTTTTTTAGGGGCTCTTGGGGAGGGGGAATAAGTCTGCCATGGGGAAAAGTTCCAAATCCTAAAGAGATAAAACTCCATTTTATCAGATGCTAGCATACATCCGGGTCCTCCCAAACGAAATCTTCATCATCCCTAAAGGAGCTGCTGCTATCTAAAATCAGGAATCTTATCATTGTGCCAGGGAGTCGGACGTTTCATCTGAGAATGTTCTTCAGAGGATACAGAAGGAAGCATAGGGTGGTTTCCTAATGAAAGCATTAACAGGGCCATTTGGAAAATTAGAAAAGCAATGCATTCAGTTCTTCCACACAAGTATAGTTGGTCATGTTTTCTTTCCTTTTTTATTTTTTTAAAAAGGAATGTTTTAATCAGAATTCAGCTCCGTCCCCCTTCTCCAAGTACGTGATAAACTTGGAAAGGAAAAATAAAAATAAAAGGAAACATAGAGAATGGATTTTGTGCTTATTTGGTGGTTTTTTTTTTAAAAAAACCAACAAGCACCCCAAACATGAACCATTTTTTGTCTTATGACTGTCTTTATTTACAGCATGTCTTTTATTACTCACAAACCGCCCACTGCACAAAAGTATCCGTTTTTTATTCCGGTGTATTGCTGATGTAGCTGCTAGATACGCTTTATTTTAAGCAGCTTCGCTTCCTGTATACATCATGACACTGCAGAACACCAAGAGTGGCCTTTCATTTCATTCAGTGGACTTTTGCTTCTCTACATAGCTCTCCACATTCCAAACACTACAGCTCTGGGCAGAATGAAATACTCATGTGTATAATCCTCCATCCCTTCATTTCATTTTAGTAAATAATTATTCTTCAAAAAAAAACAAACCCAAAATTTTTCTGAGCTTCCCCATGCACAGGCCCCTCAAGGCAGTTTACAATGAACTCGTTTATAGAAATCACATAAAACAAACTTTCTAAACTATCCTCTACTGAGCAGCAACAACAAAGAAAGTTCAAGAATTAGCACTTTAGCCAAGTACAGGGTTCTTTAAAAAGCCAATATTGATGGGGCCGTGCCTATTATTCCCTAGGGGAGAGAAGTTCAATCATGTAGGGCCATCACTAAAAAGTCCCTGTCTGTGATAACTGTCAATATAATAGATCATGACAGCAGCACAAGCAAAGAACAAGGGCCTCTGAAGCCCAGCTTAAACTGGGCAGGCTTATACGTATGGATGCAGACAGTTTGGAAACATTTGAGCTGGTATCTCTTCTTAACTGTAGAGGACATACGATGCATTACATTCACCATGATTGGTCTAGATTCTGGAAATCCCATTGTGCTTGACCAAAAGGAACCGATTGATAAAGGAGAAAAATATTTGAATAAGGAACAGCTAACTGTGGAGAAAGGAGAAATCTTTTTAAAAGGTCCATATGCCATGCACACTGGAGGTAACTTCCACAATGGAATTCTGCCAAGCCTCTTCCAAGTCCCACACACCCAAAGGGATGCATTTTGCACGGTGGAAAGGGACCCACAGTTGCCCCATTAGTTCTAAGGGGAGTTGTAGGTTATCAGGGATCAGAGTAATTTCCTTTTTCTCAAAGCGCCACAGAGGAATCCCCTTTCCTCCCCCTTAAAACGTGCTGTTCGAAAGCTTTAATCCTCAAACTATTTGAAAGGATAATATAAGCAGTGTTTTGAGGTTCCAGATACCTTCCTCCCGGGAACCTGGGAAATCAGCTTTATGGTAAATGATTGAGGACGAGGGTCAGTGTTTAAAGGCTGTTTACTCTGGACAAATATCTGTGCGTCCCTTTGAGGGGGATTATTTACATCTGCTTGGCTCTGTTGAAAAGCCACCTCATTCTACTCAGACACACACTAGCTGTGTCTCTAAATAACTGCATCTTTTCCGGGGTTGGGGGGTGGGCAAAGTTTCTGATTACTGAATTTCTTTTTATAAAGTGTGATTCTTTTGACTGTAAAGAAATGAAGCATGATGAGCATTCACTGATGCGTGTTCTAAACAGTCCCATATCAAATATGCTGTCAGCGGAGGCTCCAGTGATGCAATAAGTGATGGCAGGATAAGATCCATGGGGTGTGACAGTCAGCAGCCCAGCATAAACTGTTGCAGAGAAAAACCGGTCCATGGCCAGAGATGGTCTTTTGGTAAAGGGAAAGAGAACAAGATTGGAGACGGGGAGAAGATCTGAATGGACAGAGCAGGAGTTCTGGGCTGAATCAGGAGCAGATCGCTTAGTGAAGAGCCATTTATGTGGGGAGGAGGCCAGGAGGACGGACCTGGGAGCTGAACCAGCAGAGTTTAGAGAGAACCAGTCCTGAAGCTGGTTTGTGGTCTGATGATGCCAGGGAAAGAGGCCCTCTGCTGGTGTTTTTAACAAGAGGATTTGTGGAAATTCTGATTGCTGTTCATAGGGCAGCAAAGGTCCTAGATCAGTCCTATCAGATGTTCAGTTTGCAAAGTGAAGGGACTTGTACTTAACAAAGGAGCATAGGAAGCTGTCTTATACTGAGTCAGACCATCTTAGTATTGTCTACACTGACTGGAAGTGGCCGCCCAGGATTTCGGGCAGAGATGTCTCCCAATCCTACCTGCAGATGCCTGGGATTGAATTAAAACAGAAGTTACACACAGCATTTAATATAGTGCTATGCAGTTCAGCAGTGCCCTTCCCTACAGCCAAGATCCTCCTTCAGTTTTTACATAGAATTCATTCTCAGTCAAAAACATAAAACTGCCCTGGTCTCCTTTCAAGGCAGTAATAATACTTACCGCTAAGCCCCCTGCAATGTTAATTGCAAGTTTCCTTTCTGCAGGTTCTGGCTGCGCTATCACTCCCTGTTCAGATTTGCTGGAGGCTAGTGATGAATTTCCCCTTAGTTAAGTCAGCATCTGCTCTGGGAGGAGACAGTTTTAACTTATGCAAGGAAGCCAGCAATTAGAGCCCACCCTAACCCCTCCACCAGAAATGTAAGCTTTACTAGTCCAGGCACCAATTCATTACACCCCACACTGCCCCAGACAGGAAATAAAATGGGTGGAACCTGCAATGAGGTAACCTAACAATTGGGCATTGTCTGTAAAATAAGAATGGAGCAAGCATGGCGGTTCCAGATAAATGGGCGAGTGTCAAAGCAACCTAGCACAGCTATGGGATTTTTTTTACCATGGAAGTCCTTTCCTGTCTTCCTAAAACCCAAAGCAGCAGAGGTCTTAGGTGTGGAATTCCACAGCAGGGAATGCTGTGCCCCTTGTAACCTCTTCTTAAGCACATATGGACATGGGAAGAGCCTGGTGGATCAAGCCAATGGCCCATCTAGTCCAGCATTCTCACAGTGACCAACCTAATGGTGATGTTGCCATTGAGGACTTGTTTGCTTTATATCCCACCATTCCTCTTGAAGGAGACCAGGGCGCCAGATGCCTTTTGCTTGCAATTTCCAGCAACTGATACTCAAAAGCATCCTGCCTCCAGCAGCAGAGGGGGAACTGAGCATGGCCATTGTGGTTCCAGGCCCTCCGAGCAAGCTTCCAGTTGACTACTCACTTGAGCTACTCTCTGTCATGCTCCATGCCACAAGCATCATGCATGCAACATAAGAAAGGAACCTTCCCAGCAAATGTCTCCAGATCCATCCCTCAAACTTAAGGAGACAGCTTCCTTGCTGCAAAGGGCCTCCCCAACCCTTCAAAGTTCTTCAGCTAAGTTTGGGGGTCAGTTTCTTCCTGTCCCCAGAGGAAAAGAAGCACAAGCCCACATAGACCCCAGATTGTGGCTGCTTACACCCCATACTATTAAAGCATATCCCCTCCCCCACTCCACCACCCCAAAATAGTTCTGGGAATCTTTGGAGAGCTTAATGTGCTTTATATGTATGCCAAAGTGTGTGTGTGTGTGGGGGGGGCTAGCTCTGGATCCTAGCATGTATGTGGGAGGGGGTAAAGAGGAAAAGCAAGATGACCTGTTTATTGTGCATTCACCCTGATTCGTCTGCAGGGAATGTGGGCTATTTAAAGGGTAGCCATTGCAGGGAGGTTAGCTGATGTTGCAACAAAGCAAGTGTTATTACGCATTTTCCAGTGTAGTCACGCTCATCACTTTCCGTATGGCAAAAAGTCAGACCTTTGGGGGAAGCAGGTTAGTTGCACAAAGACCTCCCAAGCAACTAAATTTGCCTGCATGTGACTGAATCCCACCCTGGGAATAGTGGCAGTTTGGAACTGTAACCCAGGCACCCTAAATATAAGGATCATAGATCTAGCAAGGTGGCAGAGGAACCCATTTCATACATAGCTCTGATGAGGCAGGCTCTAGCAGAATCAAAGCTCACATCATCTACTTAAATATTTTGTTGTTTTATTTCCTTTTTTAAAAAGAGCCTTTCCTTCTACTACAGTTAACTGGCCTCTTCTTATTGCAGAAAAGGGGGAACTTTCTCTTGAGGAACACTAGCCTCTCTGCAAAACTCTTATGTAGAATAGAAACAGGTTTCCTTTGGGACAGCACCATCAGTTTCTAGATGGTCACTCATTTTCAGTGGAGCTGTATCATGAACTTTGCAAGTGCTGAAGGGTCAACAATACTCACTTATCTGCAAGGCAAAGGGTTCTACCAGAACCTCTTTCAGACTCCTTTGTCTGCACCACCTTTTGCAGAAAGATGTGGTAGAGGTACATAAATAAGGGAGAGGTCCTTGGGAC